CCCCAAAACCCCAAAACCCCAAAACCCCATAAGCAGTCAACTAAATTGTTTCAAATATATTATTTTCCAGAATAGAAAAATGGAATCCTCTAACATCCCGGATCAAGAAGTCCAAATGGAAGAAGAGGAAGAACAAAAGCCAATCTTGATGGATCCTTATAAATCAGTGATTGATGTGAGTAATCTGACCAATAAATAAAGAAGGGATTTCATGTTCATACTGAGGATCCAAGGATAAGACCAGATTCCGAATGGGATTCAAAACTACCAAGCTTAGTGTATATCATCTTGAGACACTCATTGAGAAAGGATTCAGCAAACGAGGAGGCACTACTATAGAAAAAGGGCTAAATGATAAATCTTGTTGCCATATCTTCAATCCTAGGGTGGGCATCACTGAGTTTAAAATCTCCAAACAGGTATTGCTACTTGTGATCATGATTTGTTGCCTGCCAAGTGTGTGAATTCTGATAGATTTCTATAGCAAAAATAAACACATGAAGAGGTTCAATCAGTACATGAATGGGCAGAGAGAGCTAAAAATAGAGCCTGTCAAGTATTCATTACACACTGACAAGCAAGTATTTATTGGCGCTTGTATGAGAAATGGCTTCCAGAAAGATATTGCAAGTATAGATAATTGGGTCAAGAGTGGATTAGTTAAAACTCTGAACTCAGACGATCAGAAAATAAGCAGTGCTCTCACTGAAGACCTAAAGGGCATGCTCAAGCGTATCTTCTGTTATAACTTCTAGTGAGAATTAAGATTGATTTCTCTGAAGACATCTACAATCTCGAAAGCTTCACAGAACAAGAGGAGGTCCAACTAGTCATGACTTGAGACCTCAAAGCACTCTTTGCAAAGCACAAGCTTGATGATGTACATCTTTGCTAACATGTAGGACTTCATGAGTGCCTTCTTCCCTGTCTTCATGAGCAATCTGAGGGAAGACCAAGACCTCTGCGAACTATATGAGATAACTGAGAATTGAAAAGTGAGCAATTTTATGACCGTTTAGGAGTATGCAATTCAAATATCAGGAGACAAAAGAAGAATGAGTGGATACCAGCATAACTTGGATCGACAAGAGGATTTATCTAAATATGAGCCTGACATTTATGGAGAGAAGAGGTATAAAGTTACTGGAGAAGAATCTAAACTATCAGTCGCGGCAGGAAATAAAAGAGAGTATACTGAATTCTTTAAGGAGTTCTGTCCGAACCCTGTTCCTAAGGAAGAAAGAAAGCACCATTACACAGTTTCGTTACATCCAGCCATTTTCACTCCTGAATCTTTTGAGATTTACAAATTGTTTGATAAAGAAATCTTCGATAAGGTAAACCAAGATGGTAATATTTAGGATACAGCTTCTGAGAGTTATGAGAGATTTCTTTGAAGCTCTTCTCTTTTTGATCCTAAAGATCCTAGAGAAATAAAGACCTTCAAAGATGGATTAAAGATCAATGGAAATAATAAATTTGTTGATTCTGGAGTATATCCTGAGTTCCTTGGATCATATCATCTGTATCATAGGATCGATGGGGCTCTGTTCGCTGTCTCTGCGATCGATATACTCCCTCATAACCTTATCTCCGCCTTCTGAATGTATCACCCAGCTTATAAGTGTTTATCTCCAGGCCATTTCACAGCTATTAGAGAAATTGAATATATGCTGATGATCAGAGAGAAGTTTAACGAGAATATGAGATACTATAGTCAGATGGACATTGTAGTTGGATGACCAAAGACTGAGTACAAAGAGCATGTAAAGCCAGTTTATCTCAAATGCCCACTCTCTTTGGACTGGGTGCTTCTCACAAAGGAAATCAAAGAAAAGATTGCATCTAAGAATTATAATACTCTAGGTACGTAGATTATGATAAAATTAGATGAGTCCTCAGCTCCTGTTTCTCCTCCCAAAGTTGAAGAGTTTTTCAAATGGATTGGTGAATCTGTAATTCACACTCAGACAGAAGTCCTTCCTCTGAATGCAATCGTTCGGAGCGTTCTTGAAGATCTGATACTGATATTTAAGGAAATCGGGTCGGAGATGAATGAGATGTTTTGATTAGAACATAAATAGTTTCAATAGCATTGAAACCAAGTGGGGTTTTGGGGTTTTGGGGTTTTGGGG